GATTGTTAGATCAAAATAAAATCTCCAAGAAAAACTTGAGTAACATTAATAAAAAAAATAATTTTGAAAAGTAAGATAAATGAGTTCAAAATTTTAGTTAAAAATTATGTATGAAAAAGTACTAAAATTGAAAAAAAAAAGTTATCTGCATAACCTCTACTACCTTAGTTATAAAAATCAATGTTTATCATCAAAATGCTACAAAGAATATAAAAAAAAAATGTAAAAAAATAGAATGTTGAAAATTCTACTCAAAATATCTTTATTATCCAGATAATGTGCTTATTCTTTTACACCTCTGTCATTTTAGTAATACACTTTTTAAGTTGCTAGTTATAAAAGGTAACCCACAATATTTGGTGGGAAAATAATGAAAACTTTTGCATAATAACAAATATTTTTTTTTAATTTGGTGGACAGATTCAATATTTTATATATTTGCTTTTAAAATAATTTACAGCAAACATTAAAAGTACGATGGGAACTCTAAACATAAATAGATGTATAGATAATGGATAATGTGTCTTAATTGTATAATATATGCGCTAGATAAACGCAATGGATAGTACATGCGTACAACATCAAATAATCAGAGAAAATAAGTTTCCTATATTTATATTATATCAATCAGTTAAAAAGATAAATTTCTTCTTTAAAAAATAATAATTTGTGATAATGAAACAGGCTTACAATTTATTACTTCCTTTAATTTTAAAACAATTTATGATCAAATATTTAATAGAAGTAAATAATTGACATTCACAACAATTGAAATGCTTAATTTACATGTTAAAACGTACATTCACATATGAAACTTTAATTTATATTGATTATAAAATTTAATACTAAATAATCCTAACGAAAAAAATTAAATATGCAGTAAAATAGCTATACGACCAATTTCAACATCAGTTATTTTCTATAATTTTAAGAGAGTAGATGTGTGATAGACAAATAAATCTATGCATTTTCATGATTTTATTTGTGATTTTCCTGATGATTAATGTTTATTCAGGATAAAATATCTATTTCTAAGAGATTGTTAATCCAAATTAATATCTACCATTATACTCTACCAAAAGCGTTAAATACCTTGACAAGTGATATACTGATTCCAAACATAAATTCCATTTTAATAAATTTATAGATTTTAACTTTTTGGTAAGAAAAATCTAGAGCTCTATATTACGATGCGTAATATTAAATTAAGCCAAAAAGAATATTCCTGTTAAAAACTCACGTAAAGGCTGTTACGATATTGGAATAATTTCGTAATTTGAAAGACATTCATATTATGAGAAACAAATTATTTTTCAGGTTCCAAAAACTTAAAAAAAAAACAACGTTTGAAAATGAATCTGTAACAATAGTTTCCTCGATAAGCTACTAAAAACAAGTTAGGTTTAACAATTGTGAGTCTATTTATTTTATTAAAAAAGTTTTCTTCTCATGTATATGCAAATTTTTTAATAAAATATTTAATTTTCCCCATACCTTCAGAAAAAAAAGCTAACATTTATTCCCTTTTCAATCAGATTACACAAATAATTTCACGAAGAAAAAATAATTAAATAGAAAAGCGTTCGCACCGCGCATTTTGATTTGTAACTCCTACTTTTTGAGATGTTTTTCAATACACAGTTAAATGAAAATACTATTAAGAGTAAATATTTATTGAAAGCGACCTTTGAGCTTTACAGACGTATTTTTATACAAAAAGCGGAAAGGGGGAGCGTGGAGAAGAAAGAACGTTTGCGATTTTAATATTCGAAGTTACTTTTTTTGTGTTCTTTTTTTGCAATACTTTCCTGCTGTATTATTTACTTCAAACCCGCACCATCAATTTTAATTTCGAGACATTTAAAGACCATGCTCATCTTCTGCCTATTGTTGAATACTCAAAAACCCTTTTAACAATAGAATATCCGGAATTAGAAAACCCAATGTGAGGAACAAAAAGTACGAAGAGTAAAAAAAATTATTAAAAATTTTTCGTTGTACAAGCATTTTTCCCCCAATCCTTTTCAAAACAAACGCTTGGAATTTTCTTCGCTATCTCTAAAATAAATGTCCACCATAAAAATGTAAAAAAAAAAAAAAACCCCTTTTTTTTTCAATGTTTTTTCTGAAAACTTTTGGGATATATAAAAGGGGAGGGCAAATTCAAAGAATCATCTGTAAAGTCTAAAAATATAAATGACTTTTCAGTCCTTTTTTTAAAAAATTGAACTTTTCTATTTTCGAAAAAGGAAAAAATAAAAAAGAGGATGAGTTTATTTATTTAACTTCCATTAAATAATAAGTATGATGCTTTGAGGAAGGAAGGGGGGAGCAGTATTTGGGGAGAAAGCCTTAACAAAAGGGTTTTACCCAAAAAATGATACCAGATTCTCCAGCGCAAAAACCAGATCTACGATGTTTTAAAACGGATATGTTTTTTAACAGTCTATCTTTGAATGAGGGAGAAAAAACTTAAAATAAAAAAAAGTTACAACCCTTGTTACAAACTTCTCTTTTCAACTTCCAGCCGGAACCGGAAATCAACCTCATCACTCAAACGAAATGCGCACCATTTTTGGTTATAAATAAAAACCATGCATTTTTCATGATAATCAGAAAAATGGTTGCAACCTAACAGGGCGGTAAAAAACCACATATAATGATAAATTTAAATTCTTTGTTGATTCGTTTTTCGTTGTGAAAATTGTATTTGAAAGTTTTATGTCCTTTATTTTTTTCCCTGTAAGAAAAGACAGATCATTTAATTAAATTCTCTCCTATTTGTGGAAGTGTGTTTTTTTCCCACTACCCTAGTCCGAAACGGTACTTCCGCCATTGATAAGAACAGGACCGAAAATTGGGTCTTTCGCGTACGGGAAAATATCCGGGTACTTTATTAATCAAAACTGATAACACGTTCGAGAACGGTGTTAAACAGAAATGAATCTTTGCCACGCTTTGTTGATCTTGACGTGGAATCTGATAAGGCACGTTTTTGCAGCTGTTGTGGTGGTGTAAAAAGGGGTAAAATCAATTGTAAATGTTTCAACTAGAATATTGTAAAATTAAACTTTGGTGTATTTATCAGAGCTGAAAAGATGAATTAAAAATAGAATATAAGTATGAAGGTGTACATTCTTAATGAAAATTCATGATCATTCTAGTTTGTTTAGCACCTTTTGAATGCTAAAACTGAAAGTATTAAATGATATTTATGCTGTTAGGGCAAATTTTTTAAAATATCAAATATTTCAGTTTTAATTAATTGGCATTCGGGGTTTCAAAAAATAAAAATTTATATATATATATATATATATATATATATATATATACACATGCATATTTTTCAATATATGTACCTATTTATGTATAAAAAAAAATTCTAGTGTATATAAATTCCTTGATAATTTTTTACTTATGTATAAATTTATCATATTTCTGACGTTGCAAAATTGTCTTCAAAATTAATGGACTTTTATTTCCCGTTTTAGATTTGGAAATTTTTGCATAATTTTTTAACTATTTTTTATTTCATTTAAATTTAAACGGTAAATTTCCTGAAAATTAACAAGTTTTCAGCCAAAAACTCTGGGTCGCCCCCCCTGGGGGGTTTGATGCCCCCTATAAAGGGGGGAGAATTCAAAAAAATCAAAAAAAGGTTAAAAATTACAAATTTACAAAATAAATTTGAAAATAAAAATTAATTACAATTTTACTGATATATATATATATATATAAAAAGAAGGATCAGGAAAATGCATTTGATAATTAATCTCATAATATTAAGTTAAGAAAAATTTTAAAAAATTACAGTGATTCTACTCATAATTTCTATAAAAAATTTTAATATTTATCTATAATTTTCCCGTTTACGTAAAAATCTATTGTAGTTTAAGAGTTATTACTATTACATTCAATACATTGTTATTCTGTAAAGGGAGGGGAAATGAAAATTCTGATTGAAAATTGGGTAGCGAACATTGGAAGTTTGAGATGCATTGAAATATTTTTTGATTACTTTTATATTTGTAGAATCTTAAACTAATATGTAAGTGTTATTTTACTCATCAATAAATTTAAAAAAAATATTTTTTTTTAAAATAAGTTTAAGTAAAAAAAAACTGAAGAAAAGCCCACATTAATTTGTAGACCAAATTGCTGGTTATTAATGTATTTAATTAGTTACTGTCTTTTAATGAGTTAATTAATAACTCCAATTATTTATTAATGAATTTATAACTAGAATCTAACTGAAAAAAATGCTATCACATAATATCTTTCAAATCAAAGCTCAATAAATAATATTTACATCGCTTTCTTGATAGCTAGTAAAAGAAAAAATATAACACTTGCTTTTTGTTCTACAAGTAAAGATTTATTTTCCTTTCCTCCTAATCCTATTAAATGTATAATAAGCTTATTTTTTTTCTTCACAACACGTATTACTATGAACAAAAGTACGTCAATAAAATTAAAAGTTTATCTCTGTAGTTCTATCAAGTCTACGCTTAACTCTGATATTCCGAAAACAACCTTTCAACAAAAAAAAATGTTTTTTAAATTTTTAACCATTTTTATTTATTTTGTTTTAACAGAAAATTAACGAACTATTTATTTAATTTTTATTAAAAATTTATTTTTTTCTGAATATAAATATTTAATGTACTTGCTCTAATTTATAAATATTGAATTAATTTTGTCTGGGATCCAATCATACCGAATACTTTTTCCAATTTCTACTATTAGTGCACTCTCTTCCTCTATATACGTATATTTATATCTTATTCAAATTTTCAATCGTTAATAAAATACTTTCTATTCATCAATTCAAGTTCACATACATTTTGTAAAACTTGTAGTGGCTGATACTTGATGTTAATATATACAGGATTTTTTTTAAATATTTTTAATTCATTAATTTATTTAAAAAATTAATAAATGGCAACAAACGAAAATAATAGTCTATCAGCATACATAAAAAGGGATTTCGTTCGTTGTGTCTCTGTAGCGCAATGGGTAGCGTGTTGGACTTCTGATCCAAAGGTCGTGGGTTCGAATACCCCATCAGATAGACTAATTTCTGAAAATGTAATTTCTTCTCTTTAGTAAACACTTTTATATTAGAATAATTAAATTTATAATTAATGAATAAGTAGTAACAAAAAAAATATCCCAACACCCTATAGAAAGAGAAATAGCTTTCTTTTTTTGTAACTTAACTAAGCCTTTTGTATGTATATTTTATTTTAAATTTTTGGTAACTATTTAATAAAAGTAACTAAAATAAATTTTTTTTGTTGGCTAAGTGGGAATTATTTTGTGGGGACTTAATTTTATATATATATTTTTATATTTATTAACCCCCTTTTGCCAAAAACTTCGCAAAAATTTTTTTTATTCCAAAGAATTTTTTAACAAAAAAAAGAACAATTATTTTATAAAATATTGATCAAAATTATTTACCCCCGCATCCTTCCAAACTTCCCCCACTGCTGCATAAGGCGACACTTAATTTGTGAAAAGCATCGACTCTCCCTTATAACAAAGCTTTCCACATTCATTTGCTCTTTCCCAGTTAACTGTCCCTTGCTCATTAATTCGCTTCGTTATTTATTTCGAGAAAAAAGGCCACTTTTTTTTTTGCCCCTTTTCCCCAACATGCCCTTCGGGCCCCAAGATTAACCCCCTTTTTTATCCTTTTTTTAAACTCTAATTCGAGGAAACCCAGTCTTAGTTATAAAATTATGCCCGAAAGCTCCCTTTTGGGGAGAAAAGAAATACCCCACATTCCACCGCTAAATTACAGACGGGGCTAACATTAATTGGGGGTGGGTCCAAGCCCCCATCCATCCCTGATGGATAGCCCTTGGGGTCCATGGGGACAGGGGCCCCTGATTTTTTGGCCCCGGGGGCCCCAACCGGGGTCCGTCCCCGGGGTTTCCCAGATAACCCAGGCTCCTCGGTTTTTTGGGGCCCATTTAACTTCAACGAGGGGAAATGGTAACAGGGGTTTTTGTGCGTGCCTGCGTTTATAGGGGTTGTCGTTCTTTAAATTAAGACCCGGGTTTTTTGCGGAAAGGGGTCCAAAGCTAATTTTTGCCCGCCCGATATATGAAGGGATATTTAAGGGATATCTTTGCAGGGATATTTCTGCGGTGGAGGGGGAGGATTTGCAAATTGCGCCTTTAATTCGGTTGGGATGAAAAGAATTTTCCCTCTCTCTCTCTCTCGTTCTTAATCGAATGGGTCTGTCTATTTTTTTGGGTCTTTGGGGAAAGGCAGGGCCCGAAAAAATTCCAAAAGTTAAACGGGGACTTGTGTACTCTGAATTCTTTTTACAGATCACTTTAAATTTCTGTACACTGTTTCTAGAAGCAGGATTAAACAATTTATAGTAAAACGTATTTTAATTTTTTAGAACACATATATGGGTTTTAATTTAATTTAAGGAGAATGTAATAAAGAGTCGTTTGTTTTTCGAAAAGCAATGTAGATTGGAATTCATCGCATTTTAGAGATGTGTTTATTAGTTATGTTTGAAAAAGTTTTAATGTATTTTCTTTTAAATTTATTAACAGTTAACATATATATAACCATTCGAAATTCATTTCGCTTTATATGTAAAACAGTAATTGGATACATTATTTAAAATTCATCTCGCATTTTATGATAGAATGGTTTTTCAATACATTATATTCATTGCAGCGATTTAATTGGATTGATTTTAAAATCATTTGACGCGCTATTATTTTTTCAAACGTATCTTAATTTTTATTGTATTTTTGTATAGAGAAAATGAAATACACCTAGAATTTTCTAGCACAAAAAATTACATTTGCTTAATACTAAGCCAAATTATTTTTCTGAATGTTTAACTTGATTCTGGTAGTCAAACAGACAACATTTAATTAGGCTCAATTGTGTCATTTATCAATTTACATTATGATAGCATAAACTTCTCTCTGAAAGGTCATCTTTTAATATGTTTAAATAATAATTGAAGTCATTTTAATGCAATGTTCCTGAATTAAGGATATATCGGTTTCCATATTCATAAAAATTGTAATTAAATTGCATTTATCCCTCAATAAAATGAATTAATGGCAAAGATTAAATAAAAAATAATTTTGCATCCATTTAGATTTGAACGAACAATTTTACTCTAATTATAATTTGTGTACATTGTTGTCAAATTATAAGATTTTTATAAAAAAAAACAAAAAGAAATTATGAAATTAATTTTAAAAAGAAAATGCTTACTAAAACAAGAGTAATAGATAGAGTAAACAAACATAGAGTAAACAATTTACTAATTAAAAATATTTTAAAAATTAGATTTAATGAAGTTCAGAAATAGTTTTAGAATTAATTTTCACCGTTTTTTTCTCATCAATTTATAATTCTACAACTACCATATGTCTGTTTCTAAATTACTTTTATTAACACTTTCGAAGATCTAGATATTATTTTCAATGTTATTAATTATATATTTCTAATATTTAGCTGTTATAAAATGTGTATTTAAAATATTTTTCATTAATATAATACATACTTATTCCAATTAATGTATTTTGATAAGTAAAATTTAAAAGCAAGACTCACTACTTATGTTAAAGTACTGATATTTTAAACCCTTTTAAAACAAAATTCTCTCTTTATTGTAGTGTATCTCGCGAATAAAATTAAAAACGCTAAAATAAAAAAAAAGATGTTGTTGTTGTTTCTTTTTAAATTTACGATCCACATCTTATATTCGAACTTTAAAAAAATTATCAAGATTGTGTGAAAACACTAACGCATAAGAAACACCTTACATTGCATTTTTCGCGCGAACAATTCCAAGTTCCAATAACAGTCTGCAGTTTTTTCGCAGTATCTTTTCCTTAAAAAAACACTTATTGTAAATTACGGTTAAAAAACTTCGAAAAAAATATATACCTCCCCTTTTTTTTGTAACAAAACACTTCAAAATTAAAAAATACTAGACGTTTAAACCCCAATAAAAACTATTATGAAAACTCCTCTCTCTGCGTAGTTCGAACCTAAAATAATATTAAAAAAAACCCACGTAGAGGGTCTTCTTCTGATCTTTATACTATTTAGAACGAAATTGCGGCCCTTGATTCGCTGAAATTGGTGATAATGCATCCATGACACTTTATTTTTAATTTCAGAGCTGAGTGGAAGACGGTGCCCCTGGTCTTTTCGCAATAACCTTTCCCCCATAAACCACTAGGGAAGGGTGTAAAAAAGTCAAACTAACCTTTTACCCGCCCGGGGCTGAAATTTAAGACATAATATCCAGAGGCTTGAGGAAAAAACAATTACGTAGCCGTGTTATAATGCTCAAATTCCTTAGGCATTTTGTTATCACGGTATCACATGATACCATCACATGAAAAACACTTTTAGGAGATCGGGAGGGCGTTATTTTAGCGTATAACTCAAAGGTTCAGAATACCTGGTTTCATTATCAACGATGTTTTTCTCTTGCTGCATATACAGAAAACACATACATTTTACCAACACGGTAATCTTTTTATGAAAATTAGTATAATGATAATGATTAATATTTGATCGAAAAGTGTTTATTTAGTATCCTTTCTCTCTCTCTCTCGGTAATTTTTTAAAAAAATTTATTGCAACTTCTCGCATTCAGATTTAATAAAAAATCGCTTTTCAAAACTGAATTCAAAATGTCATTACAGGAAGAATTTCTTAAAATGAAATTAAGTGATAATTTATTGTAACTTTTAAGGGGACATAAAAAAATAAATATAAAAAAATAAATTATAAAATTAAGTTATCCTATTGGTGATCCTACTCAAACACATGAACCATTATTAAGTATTACTTCTATTAATATCATAAGTTTGAATCCTCGGCAAATATAGTGGCTTAAGGCAGTGCTTCTCAAACTTTCAATGCTTGTGACCCAATATTCACTCATAATTTTTCATTGCGCCCCCCCCCCCTCCATACAATAGTAATGAATTGAATTCAATAATACTAGACTTTGACGCTAAAGCTACAATGCGACTTTAACCTCTTCAGTGCTACCGGCGTATATAAACGTTCAGCTCAGCCTGTGCGTTATTTACCGGACGTATATTTACGTCTTTCCGGAACATGAGTTTTTCCGTGAACTGCCATCTACAAAATTATTCCGAAGGCTTTGGAGCACAATTAAATGACATTGGCAGTGTTCGCGAAGGTTTTACTTATTTCAGAGGATCTGCATATTCTTTTTTCCCCCCTCCCCTTCCCCAATACACCACATACGCTCGACTAAGTGTTAAAAGGTTGGCGTTGGGGAGTGAATCGTGTAATTTTTAATTAGTATTTTAAGGGATTAATTATGAACCGTAAAAATTATCAAGATAAGTTTAATTTTTCTATATAATTTTATACATGATATGCCCGCGGGGTCAATGGTAATTATTCAACTTGTTTTTAACTTAGTGTTATAAAATAGATTGTGCAGTATTGATACATTTATAAGTATATTATATCAGAGAATGTAAATGTGTATTTTATTTTTTATTATGTCAGAATGTATTTTATTTGTTTACATTCAATAAATTAATACTTTTTACATCAACTTTTGTTTTCGACTTGTCGATACGCTCGCGCCCCCCTCGTAGGATTATCACGCCCCCCTTCCCAGTTTGAGAAACACTGGCTTAAGAATTGAAATACAGTCGTATATGCAAGTTATTGATGGAAACTCTTGAATTTCTTCACAAAAAATTTCTCATTTTTCAAATTTCAGTTTTCTGCAGCAAAGGTTTATTGTTTTATCATATGGTTAAGGTACACGACTACATTCGGAACCGTGATTTTAGAAAGGAGCATAAATGGATAATTTTCATGATATTTAGTGTCACATACATTATATTATTACACCATTAAATACATGTTTAAAATTGTTTTAAGGACATTTTGACAAAAAAAATTATTTAAAAACATTATACAAAATACTTCTAAAATAATAATGTCTTGTGTGTGTGTGTGCTTATATAAAGTAAAGACTTCTCCAGAGAGTCTGAACTATATTTTTTTTTAAAAAAATT